TCTATCTATCTATCTATCTATCTATCATCTGAATATTTCTTTCTTTCTATCATCTGACTATTTCTTTAAATCTATCTTTCTATCTATCTATCTATCTATCTATCTATCTATCTATCTGTCTGTCTGTCTGTCTGTCTGTTTTAAATTTAGCATAAATGTCTGTAAAATTAATGGATAATGTCCTGGTAGAAAATTACCAGTAACTTTTTATTTTATATTTTGTAAGCAAATGAAGACTTTTCGCTCAAAATGTGTTTTTCTTTTTCTTCTTTTTTTTTTATATGAAAAAGACCCAAGTGACCTTTTAGAAAAAAATCTTTCAACTGCTATCACATTGTGCTAATAAATTATATATAAATATATATATAAATTATATATACTGTGTGTATATATATATATATATATATATATATATACACTGTATATATATAATTTATATATATATTTATATATAATTTATTAGCACAATGTGATAGCAGTTGAAAGATTTTTTTCTAAAAGGTCACTTGGGTCTTTTTCATATAACTAAAAGGTCACTTGGGTCTTTTTCATATAAAAAAAAAAGAAGAAAAAGAAAAACACATTTTGAGCGAAAAGTCTTCATTTGCTCTCGTTGCTCTCTAGGAGAAACAGTTGAAACATTAATAAAACGATAAATAGATGAGTCACCTGTCTCCTTTTTTTGATTTTTGGCTAATGAAAATGTTTATATCTATCTCTGAGAACAGAAACAGTTTACTTTTCATGTATTTATTTGTAGAAAGTGAAATGAATAAAACAGAGGCGGATGAGTCAGATGTAAGTGGCTCTGATGAAGCAGACTTAAACTTCAGATTCAAACACAGACAGAAAGAAATCAACTCTTTTTTTTTAGATCTTCGTTTGGACGCATCAAGAGAATATTGAGTTAAATGTCTGCTGATAATCAAAGACAGAGTAAATGAATGAATAAATGTATGACAAAGCAAACTCACCATAATCGTAACTCTTGAATTCAGGAGACAAGGCACGAGTGATTCCAAACAGGACGGAAATGCTGATTTTAATATATATAACCCCATTCCCCACCACTGACTGTCTATAAATACATCCTCATGCGCTTAACCAGGTAGCCAATTGTCGACTTCATAAGTTATTATAAGAATCCTGATTAAAGGGGTTTAATGCAGGAGCCAGAGGGCTTCAACTCAGAACAGATGACAGTTGTTGGAATTCAGCTAGAACTTTCCTAAACCTAGAATGTGTGATTGACAGCGCCATTAATGCTGTTTCTCAGTCTTTGTAGGTTCATTATGTGATATTTAGTTGGAAACAAATGGGTTAGATGCTCAGGTTTTGGATATTTAGGCATGTAAGTGTCACTAGCTTCACCATAATTCATCATTTTTGATGTCTCAACGTTTTAGGTCATTTGTGGTGGATGTATCTCCTCGAGTTCACAGAGGAACCTGCAGTGTTATTTTAGTATTTTAAAGGGATACTCCAGCCCAAAATGAAAATGTTGTCATTCATCACTTACCCCCATATCGTTCCAAACCCATAAAAGCTTCGTTCGTCTTCGGAACACAATTTAAGATATTTTGGATGAAAACCGGGAGGCTTGTGACTGTCCCATTGACTGCCAAGTAAATTACACTGTCAAGGTCCAGAAAAGTATGAAAGACATCGTCAGAATAGTCCATCTGCCATCAGTGGTTCAATCTGAATTTTATGAAGCGACGAGAATACTTTTTGTACGCGAAGAAAACAAAAATAATGACTTTATTCAACAATTCGTCTCCTCTGTGTCTCTCCGCATCACTGTAGCGCCATTTTGGAGAATATCCACTGACCGCAAGCAGCGTACGCTCTTCTGTGTCAGCCAGACGAATTGTTGAATAAAGTCGTTATTTTTGTTTTCTTCACGTACAAAAAGTATTCTCGTCGCTTCATAACGTTATGGTTGAACCACCGACGGCAGATGGACTATTCTGACGATGCTTTTCATACTTTTCTGGACCTTGACAGTGTAATTTACTTGGCAGTCAATGGGACAGTCACAAGCCTCCCGGTTTTCATCCAAAATATCTTAAATTGTGTTCCGAAGACGAACGAAGCTTTTACGGGTTTGGAACGACATGGGGGTAAGTGATTAATGACAACATTTTCATTTTGGGCTGGAGTATCCCTTTAAGCAGTTTAGTATCCTTTATCTATTTTATATATACTTTTTTTAAATTTATATTTAATATTTTGAATTAGTTTTTATATTTATTTTTTTTATTTATGCTTTTTAATTCATTTTAATGTTTTAGTACTTTTAATGTACTTTTTTTTTGGTCATTTTTATTATTACTTTTTCCAAATATGACTAGTTTTATTAATTTTTATTTCAGTTTTAGTTATTTACATAGTTCAACTAAATGAAAATAAGAAATGTTGCTTTGGCAACTAGCTAAAATAAAATAAATTGAAGGTATTTTTATATTTTATTTCATTTATATCAAGTATTTCAAGTAATTTGAATGGTTTTAGTTTTACAGTAGTTAAATATAATAACTAGTGTTTTTGTCATTTTTATTCATTTTTTATGTCTATAGTTTTTATTCAAATTTATTTCAGTTTTAACTTAATTAAAACTTTATTAAAGTTTTATGAAAGTTATAATAACTCTGGTGTAGAGAATGTAATGTAATGAGTGTAATCCACTAATATTAAAACAGTGTCTTCACGAATGCCTTTAAAACATGAAAGGATAGTTTAGTCCAGTCGATGTTATCAGAAGGGAGGAACACAACCTCTGCTTGACCTCTCTTACTCAAACCCTGCAGTATGCACTAAAATTAGATTATACTACTACACCTTTGGTGGCAATTTGTCATGATGGATAAGCTGTGTTGACATCGGGAAAGACAGTTTACCCTTCCAAAGATGATCATGTGGTCAATTACAACTCAAACAGCATTGCTTTAGTGAAAGCAACATAGAAGAATGTTTTCTATGAAGGTTTTGGTGCTGTTCCAGGACATTTAGTGGGCAGTTGGCAGAATAATGTTCACTTCATAGTGATAGTGATCTTCACTGGTTACCTGTCCATTTTAGGATTCAGTTTAAGATTTTGATATTTGTTTTTAAATCTCTTAATGGTTTAGCACCTAAGTATCTGTCCGACCTGATTAAGCTGTATGCTCCGTTAAGAGCACTTAGGTCTGCTGACCATTTGCTTTTAGTTGTTCCACGGGTAAAGTTGAAGAGCAGGGGTGACCGAGCATTTGCAGTGGCGGCCCCGAAGCTTTGGAATAGCTTGCCCCTCTACATTAGACAGGCTCAAACACTTGCTGTTTTTAAATCTAGCCTAAAATCTAATTTTTATAGTCTGGCATTTGACACTACATGAGAGCTGCTTTCTTCGATTATTTTATGGTGTCTTATTGTCTTTTTTTTGTGTTGTTGACTGTATGTATCTTTGACATTTTATTCTTTTATGTGTGTACAGCACTTTGATAAACACTTGTTGTTTTAAAAAAAAAGTGCTTTATAAATAAACTTTGACTTGACTTGACTTTGACTTGTTTCAGTAGACGCAAACTCTCACGCTCAACCTTTCCAGCCACCTGGTGGCAGTCTCAACAAGCTTCTGTTTCAAGGCCTTTTGCACTCCAGAGTCAATCAATATATCAGAGTTCAGCAGCTCTCGTCAATATTCCTGGAATGATACTGCCAAGTGTAGTCAAACATTCATGTGTATCTAGGCCACTGCGTTCCTGCCGTCAATCCACACGCACTCATCTGATGAGATCTAATGGCTGCTTCACCTCTTTTTGTGTTTAGCATTCATTTTCGTTCCACATTATTAGTATTGCTGTTTTTAAGTCTCAAATATTACATGATATTTTTCTACAAAACCCTTAGAAACAATCTCACAGCTTGCACTGCTGCCCACAGAGGTTCGTAAAAATCTCCCACTGGTTTTTGCACCCTGAAAATATCCGCATATTTAGATTTGAACAAAAGTAATAAGTGTTGCTGCATCAGGCTTGTATATCAGAACTGATTTAAATTTCAAATTTAACAGTGAGCCATATCAAAACAAGATATATTATTCCTTTCTTATAAGACCGATGCTGTTTTTTTCCCCCCCTGAAGCAATAAATAAAAAGCAATAAAACAGAAACTTTTAATAAGCACCTTTTATATTCCCCGTAGGTGGCTTACAAACTGCAAATACATTTCTACTTAAAAATAGACTTGCGTTTGGTTTTAATAGCGAAGATGAGAATGACAGATGTGCTCACTTAGTAATTGCTCGCAGTCCTCAAGCCACCGGAGCAGTTTAACCTCTTAAACGCTTTTATTTCAAGACATTATTATACTGATATCAGTAATCCGGAGCATTTCGGATACACAAGTCAAACTGTTTTTTCTAAAGATGAAAATAAATCCATAGACTTTTTGTAATCGCCTGAATATAGTTTACCAAATGGTTGGCTCTGTTCAAATTTCCATTTTCGACGCTTTTCTAAAAAGAACTGCAGCTAGTCATTATGCACAATGTGATAATGAAACTTCCTTACAGGGAAAGGCCACAATGGTGTGATGTGTTATTTTAAGGGGAATCTCGGCTCTGTGTGGTCATCTTTATGTTACACCAATATTATAATGATAGAGATGCCATTTGGACAGTGTGTGTTATATTTAAAGCTACTAATGTCAGAATATAGTCCTCATTATAAGGGCCACTCAGCTCGGTCCAGTAGAAACGTCCTGTTCCACAAGAGGGAGCACGTGTTAACGTTTAAACACAACTGTCCATTCAGAATTTCAAATCATGCATTGATCGCACAATCAACCCAATAATAACATTTATGCTTTTTTCTTTGAACGCACTGTTTTTTTTTTATTCAACCGTCTTCAGACATAGAGCAAAAGAGCTTTTGCAATATAAAAAGACACACCTTATGCATTTGCTCGCGTTAACAGCCTCTGAGTGTTGTAGATAAATAACTATGAAATATTCCTGGTGTTTTTTATAAATGCACACATTGCTGCGCCGCGCATCTCTTTATTTAACTATAAGTGCATGGACTAAACTTATACTTTTCGTGCATTGTATGCTTTAGCACGTTTAACTTGTTTTGTTTATGATGTTACCGTTCACATCTTCTGCTAAAATATTTTGATAAAAGCCCAATAAGTGTTTTAATAGGCATTAGCACTATTTTATCACGCTTATCTCCGTGCACTTCAATATTCAAGGACACCATCAAAATCCACATTCACTCTTTTCACTTCAAACACAGAAGCTTTCACCCACTCACTGTTTATTCTATTCGTGCGACTCTGTCGCTGCATTTATGGCACGCATTACGCATTATTGACCTAAAGTTGCAAATCTCATTATGTGGGGCTCATTAATGATATGTAACGATTTCGCCGCTTTACGCATCAAACATCTGGCGATGCGCATTGGTTGCTCGTTGTTCTCCTTCCACTTCCCAGACGTTATTGATCAACCCGTTACGTCAGTATTGATAACTTTACCAAACCCAAAATCAAGTGCAATCCCTGGAGCAGCACTAATGCATCTATATGCATCTATATTCTGTTCATATCGCATCCACCGGCTCTGGCGCGCTGCGCGTCCCGTCTAGTTCTCCACAACTGTTATTTCCCTAACATTTTTTTTCCATGTGGAGTGTAATCGTCAACGCTGTTTAACGGGGGGAATCCAGCCCATATATTTATTGTAGCCGCTCTTGAATATTGTGCTCAAGATGGCCGCCGATGTGGGATCGATGTTTCAATATTGGAAGAAATTTGATCTCCGGCGGCTTCAGGTTGGTCTTATTTCTCACCCTTTTTATACGACGCGATCCTATAGGCGATAATGCACCTTGCATTTCATGCATTTTCTCTGTTGGGGACTTTAGAGGGACGGGATGGTGGTGTTGCATTGATAGTTATTAGTAATTGATCCTCTTCTGCCTTTTGTTCGGTTCAATCATTGATCAGGAGAGCGTAAGAGCAGCGGCTGCAGCC